GGTCCCGAATTGCGTGAGATAATACGATCTAACGATTTTTTTTTTTTTGCTGCATTATTTATGATCGCCAGTGTATAACCATATATTTTAATATGAAGACCATCATAGGTGTATCTACTATCAGAGCATTTGGTGCCGAAAAAAGATTGATGAAAAGAATGTTGCGTCTCGTAGATGACAATAATCGACCATTTATATTCAATTGGGCATGCAATCGATGGCTTCATGCTCGTATTGATTTCATAGGTGGCCTAGTTGCACTTTCCACTGCTGTTATTATTGTGTATAATCTCTCCAAAGGAATGGATCCTGGTTTAGCAGGTTTTGCATTGGCAAATGCATTATATTTCACCAACGATGTAATTTGGGTTATTCGTTTATATGCCATGCAAGAGATAAACATGAATTCAAGTAAATTCCATTGTTTTATATTTATGTTTTTTTTTCATATTCTAACCCTTTGTTCTATTGAATTTTCTAGTTGAGAGAATCCATGATTATCTGGTATTAGAAGAAGAACCACCAAGAATTATCGAAGGTCATCGCCCACCACTAGAGTGGCCTTCAAGAGGAGATGTTCAAGTTAAAAATCTCGTCATCAAATATGCACCTGATTACCCCCCGGTATTAAAAAATATTTCATTCCACATTAAACCTGCAGAAAAGATTGGAATTGTTGGTAGAACTGGTAAACTTACGCATCATGTATTTAAATAAAAGTAATATTACTGCATTATCCACTTTTCTGCAATTCTAATTGGTTAAAATAAGGTTAAAACAACCAGAGTTGCAGGATTTGGATAGTAAAAATTTTATCTTTAATATAACTTTTCTATTAAGTATTAGTGATGTTAACGGTCTGGTCTAGCTCGATTTGGTTAATCTTGATTCAGTCTCAATCCAGTCTTTTTTTTTTAGTCCAACTACGATTTAGTTCAAGATCTTTAGTCCAAGCTTATAAGACCGGTTTGGGACCGTAATCTTGAAACCAGTCAAGGCTATGGTTCCCGGTACTAATAAATAATTGAACCGGTCTTGGACCATTGATTATTTGGACTGATCTCAAACTGATCTTGGGGCCATATTTTATACGTTAAAGTTTATTTACTATTTGGATCAGTTTCAAACTGATCTAGAAATCATAGTCTTGAAAATGGTCTTTAAAATGCAGTTTTAAGACCATTTTATATAACCATAGCTCGAGCTAATATAAAACTAAATTTAACCGGTTTACTTTAGCCTTGAACCAGTCCATGGTTGGTCGCGGTCTTTTAGTCTAGACCAGACTAGATAACATCCCTATTTTTTATGTATTGTTCGAGTTCCTATTTTAATAGCATACATATATAATGATTCACGTTTTGCATTCTTAGGGTCTGGGAAATCCACGTTGGCCACATCTTTTTTCAGGTTTATGGAACCAACTTCTGGTCAAATAATTATTGATGGTATTGATATTTAACTATTGGGCTTTTCGATTTAAGGAGTAGGCTTACTATAATACCTCAAGATCCAGTGTTATTCAGCGGAACTTTGAGGTACCATTTTTATCCTTTGATAACTCAGTTATTTTAAAAAGACTTAATTACACTTGCATCATATATTTGTCTCATTGTTTATGACTTGTTATTTAAAATTGGCATAAATGTATAGGAGCAATCTAGATTTTTTAATGAACACGATGATGCTGAACTATGGAATGCACTTCGAAGAGCTCATTTAACCGATGATGCAACTACAGGTTCAAGCGCTTGTAATGATAGCAAATTATCACAAAACGAACAATCACAAAGTCAAATAACCTGGACTCTTGACGATCCCGTTAGTGAAAACGGTAACAATTATAGTCAAGGTCAACGACAGTTGATTGCACTTGCGAGAGCATTAGTTCGTAAATCTAAGTTGATTATTATGGATGAGGCAACAGCTAGTGTAGATTTTAAAACAGACCGTATGATTCAAAAAACAATACGTGAAGAATTTAGCGATGCAACTCTACTATGTATTGCACATCGTTTAAGAACCGTTGTAGATTATGACAAAATTTTAGTGTTAGGTAGGTATCATTTTGTCTCTTATTCAAAATATTTATAGTTTGTTTTTTATGGACTTATTTGCATTTATATTTGGTGATTTGCAATAGATTCTGGAACGATTGTAGAGTTTGATCATCCATATATTCTTTTGCAAAAGCCAGACTCAACTTTTCGTGAAATGTGTGATCGAAGTGGTGATTTGGCAGAATTGGTCGAAATTTCTAAGGCAAAATATGTCAATGATTATGGTCACATTAGCGTTTAAAATAGAGTCTAACGCATAACTAGGATTCAATTCAAAAAAAAAAAAAAAATACAACCTTTGCATAGATATTTTATGGCAAATTTAAAAAATTGCGACTAAGCTATATAAGGATTATATTTATGATAATTGGAAAATTAGGGATGATAATGATCCAAAATGACTCAAATGATCTAAATGACAAATGAGTCAAAGCTCCAAATTAATTCATTTATATTTATTAATTGACTAGTAAATTGAGTGGCACTTCGCACTACCCATATTATTCAGTAATTTAAATGCAAAGATTAATAAATTTTATATATCGACAACATATTTTAAATAAGGATTTATAGTAGAGATGGGCAAATCGCGGTTTTTCCAAAAATCCTGCGCGTCACGCGCAGGATTAGGTGTCGCGGTTGATCCTTGATTTTGATTGGCCAACGGCTGTGATCGACAAAATTCTGGCCCGCATTATACATAATTTTGGCCGGA